AATAAATTAGAGATTGCAAGATTGGTATTTTTTCCTTGCTGTTTGGGGTATTTCCGACCGCTGTGCGGCGCACAGAGCCGTGAATTCGGTGGACAATCCACAAATATCCGGTTTTCAACATAGAAACGTTTTCTTTCCGTAAATACGATTATCAGCGTTCTCAGCTTTTCGCGATTGTTCGCCGTTTTTTCTTGACAATTCGCAGGCAAGAGAAGAGCCGCGAACGGATCCTAGCCTTCGAAGCCATCGTCGTCTACGTTTCCCCGGTTCAAGTTTCTCGATTGATTCTCGTTGACTTTAAAAGATACTCTTGCTCGCCGCGCACCAATCATCCACTACGCTTCCCTCGATAGTCGAATATCCGTTACTTTTATTTTACTTCGTTATTTTATTTTCTCAAGCTCAGCGTTCCCGGCTTAAACACGCGCTACCGAACGAACGAACGAACGAACGTACGTACTCTCACTTCCGGTTTCCCGACGTGCCTCTCCAGTCTACTTTATTTTCATTTTTTTTTTCCCCTATACTTTAAAAGTGATTTACCTAAATATGTGCGAACAGTCACATTCTCGTGTGCACTACATTTGCGTATATATATTTATATATATATATAATATGTATATATATGTATATATTACTTCGCAGTAGGTACTCTCATTTCTTTTTTGTTCTTTAACGAATACAATCGCTCTGTATAAAACTCGTATTTACAAGATGATCGATTTGTATAGTATTAATAGGTTCATTTTTCATTTAATTTTTGTATTTCTTTTTTCTTTTTTTGGATTCTCTTTGTTTCATTGTTTTTAAATCCCGAGATGCCTGCGCGTCGATAGTGCTCTTTGGTAATTAACGATATCGTTTATATATATATATATATATATTGTTAATATAATTACGCGATAATTAATATGTAGGTGCCCGCCGATAACGTGAATTCATATTTTCTTCATTGTCTCTTTTTTCACTTATTTTTCTTTCGTTTTCATCCTGCCAGAGGACAGAGGTCGTGGTAAATTTGTTCGACTCCTTTAAAACGTTTTTTTATATATATATATATATCAATAATAATAATAATAGTAATAATAATAATGACGATGACGATGACGATGACGATGACGATGACGTTAATAATAACAGTAATAACAATAACGATAATAAAAATAATAATAATAATTTACCGTGGTCGGTTCGGAGGAACTGGCGCGTGGTTCAAAGGCATAACGCGTGCGTTACCTTGTTCGCGACACGAGCACGCTTATTTATATGATATTGTACATTGCGAGGAGGAATCATTTCTGCAGTTTTAGACGCGTCACGGCCATACAGAGTGGAAGGCGTCGAAACAGTTCCAAGTGTCAACATTTCGAATACTTTTGTTGCGAATCGCACGTTCGTTAGTGAATGTGGGCTCGGTGAGCTCGAGGGACATTTCTCAAACGGAGTTTCTAAAATATACAATGTACACGAGGGGGGGTTTTCTCCTACAAAATTCTATTTTTCGCCGTTTGGAACGTTTCCACGCATTCTCGTTCTTCGTGTGCGCATTTACTTTCCGTCGATATCCTACGTGCATGTGTACCGTTTCGGAAATGGATAGCAGATCTTCCGTGCGTGTACGATTGATCGTGATTTAGACCGGACGCTAGACCCGCGATTTATCTATCGTTTCGATGTTGGATGCGCTTCGAAGGACTCTGAATTCATTCTATCACGGGGAAACGATTAAAGGGTCTTCCCTTTCATTTTGCTCGTTCTGTTTCTATCGTAGGTATAATTCGCTTATGTTAGCCTAACTACCTAGTTCTTGCTAGCTACGGAAGAGCTCCCTCAACCCTCGTCGCCTTCGGGACGTGCCAGTTCCTCGTGGTACGCGTTCACGCACAGTTCACGTAGATCAAACGTAAATAATAGGCACACGTATATTAACGTACGTACGTGAAAACACGTGGGTATGGTATGAATGCATACGCGGATACACGTATGAGTAGATGCATCATAGACACTATAGAATATATCACAACGATAAAACGCTAGTTTCCTTTTCCCTTTCATTCACGCTATAATAGAGATTTCAAGTAGATAACGGATGTACAATTATATAAATCGCATTAATAATGCTTCCGGTGGGGCGGACGTGGAAGTATCTCGATACTTACATTATATCATAATACGTGCAGAACGAAGAGACGAACGAGGGCTCGAGAATGTTAATTCGCGTCCCGTTACGACCCGTCGTACGAATCGATTCGACCTTACCGTTCTCATCCCGCCGATGTATACGCTCTCCGGTCACGCGGAGAGGATTCTGATGTGTTCGAAAAATAATAAGCCACCCGCACGTTGGAATCCGGCGTCGATAACTGCGCCATTAATCGAGAAGCGTTCAGTTATCCTGTCGGTTGTCGGGAGCAACGGGGAGGGGATGGCAGGGTGCAACGGGACGACAAAACACGAGCTTACCTCGGTCACTTCTTCCGTATATATATATATATATATATATATATATATATATATATATATATATATATATTAGTGGGCGAACAAGGAGATCCTCGAGCAAGATTACCTACATTTATAAAGAATTCTCGCAGAGTACCGGGGCAAGAAGTTCCTTATTAAATGCACAATGAGCAAGAGCGTCTGGCGAACGGACTGTTTAGCGATCGTAGAAAAAAGAGCGGCGGAGAGCCCTGGAAGAGACGGAAACAGAACGCGCCGAGATCGAGAACGAGGGTGGAGGATAGAGGCCGTGGGGCGATGGGGGCGGGGCGTGTCGGCTGGTCGATATCCTGAATGGCAAGTTTCCACGACCCAGTCTACAGCCGGCACCCACGCCAGCGGAGACAGAGGGGGATGATAGGGTGCGCGAGAAAGACAGAGGATGGTAACCGTCAGGGGTTGCCGGAGCGAAGAAAGGGAGAACGAGAGACGCGTACAAGCGTGCACGCGTGTCGCGGGACGAGAAATCGAAAAGATTCTCGTCGGTGTGCGTTGAGTGCTCCACGTACGTAAACGCGCCCTGTTGCACACACGCGCGCGATGGAAATACGCGAGCAGGTAGCGCGGAGTTATCCATAAGACGGAAGTAGAACGGCATACAATTGGCGTTAATTAACTCGGGGGAAAACGCACCGACGGAATAGCCACCCGGGGGGACGACGAAGGGCCACTCCAACGGAAGGACCGTGTTTAGGTGTGTTCGACGCGACGATGCTAATTCACGCGCGAGGATAAACGCGATTCTGATTCGTTTCATCGCGCACCGCTGGTGGCTAACCGTCGTTTTGATTGTTCTTTTCTCGGGGGAGGGGGAAGGGGGGAAGGGGGGTGTGGGGACAGGAGCACCAGCAACACAGGACAGAGTTGCGCGAGAACGAATCCGATCGAATGACTCGATATTCGAGGGGTCGCAGCATTTACCTATCTACTCCAAGCTTCTCGTTTCGCTCTGGCTCTTCCCTTCCGGTCCCGTTCCGTCGCTTCCGGCGAGAGACCGTCTCCACGCCCGCGTCACAACAGAGAATACGAGGGTCGTTCAATGAGTCCTTAGAAAATCCAAGATCTGGCGCTCGTAGCATCAAAATGGTTTGTTTTTAGTAAGCATTATGACTCACTAGACAGCTGTCAAAGTCTCAGTTATAACCACCACATGGTTTTATTTTTATTTCCGATCGAAGGAAGAAACTTCCTCTTGCATCAAGACAATGCCATGGGTTTCGATGGCCAAAATCATGGAATTAAAGTTCGAATTATTACAACATCCACCGTATTCACCAGATTTGACCCCCAGTGACTTTTTTTTATTTCCAAACTTAAAAAAATGGCTCACGTCGAACGAGGAGGTCACCGCCTATTTTGAGAGGCTTTAGAGCTAAAAGGAGATTATGTTGAAAAATAAAAAGAAATCTACCTAAAATAATTTGTTTCTCTATCTTTTTCTAAGGACTTATCGAACGACCCTCGTAATTATTTGATTTCGTTGCGTCCTCCTTGGCTCGCCATCCGTTCTCTGGTTTGCAATTCGATTCGAATAACTCGCGCCCGATTGAATTGTACGTCCCGGGAGTATGTATCTTTACACAAACGTTCCGCGACTACGTAGTTACGAGCTAAGTACTCCCCATTGAGCTACGTACACGAACACGTACAGGGTGGTCGCGCGTCGCGACTGATTCCACGGAAGTTACACGATTCCGAGGGAGAATCGCGGTCATAGAAGTGACGGAAATACAAAAAGGTCGCTTCATCTGACGAGTTCTATAAATGGTAAAAAAGTGGTATAAAATGAAACGGACACACATAAGTTCGTGGCAATAAAAAAGACGTTCGTGAAACAGCTCTACCTCGAAATGATGAGACTCGCGTCGAAACTATTTCGCCCGTCTGTTCGACGGTCACGTGGTATAGACGGTCGCCATATTTGGGGGAACAAATATAACCATCTTCCTAAATTCAATTGACACAATCCGATAAATAGGCTTTTCCTTTTTTCTTTCTTTTTTTTGCTACAGGGTCGCAAGTACTGTCGTCGAGGTCCTCGTAGTTCTAATACTCTAAATAACGTCTCCAGGCCAGCCTCGAATCGCTGCCACCGAGGGCGTCACGGTATTCGCCCTGCAGTCTCTATGATATCGCTATATTTGTTTCACCAAGTACATCTATCGTTGATTCTCGTGAATCGATCGTGTTCGCGTCGACGATCGAGCCGTCACGGTCGACGCGCTGATAATCGTGTACGTGTATCTGCACGTAAGGTACCTAACACGCGTCCGCACATGTGCTCCTTACATACATTAGATACAACGTACGCACTTAACGTGTTAAGTCGTACCAGTCTCTGATAGTAAACCGTTTTCGTTTTCGTTTCGAAATAAAAACCCACCTCTTTTTTTCACGTACACGCTTTGGCGCTCGCTGGACACACACTCGCGCGCATACACGCACAGGCACACGTAACGCATTCGTAATTAGTACGCGTACGTCCGCGACTTTTTTTCCTCCTTTTCATCGATCTCGCGCGCATTCGTACACACGCACACGCACGCACGAGCGCCATTCGAGCGATGATCGTTGATTCTTAATCGTTCCCAAAGTTTCTCGTTTTCCATCACATTTCTTCCGATTCGTCGTCTCGAACTTTGCGTTCTCCCTTACGTTTAGTTAATTTTACTATATATATATATATATATATATATATATATATATATATGTATATATATATATGTATATGTATATGTATATATGTATGTATATATGTATGTATATCATGGTAGCTAAATTGACAAGTGTTTATATAAGTATTTCTTTTTCTTCTCTTTCTTTTTTAAAGTGCTATGTATGTACCTAGACTGGCAATGTTTAAAGTATGCACGCTCGTGGATTCGCCGTTTAGTTTGAATATTTTTGCACAGGCGTGTTCCGCCCGTTCCCGTCACTTTCGTTCTCGCGCGAGCATCACGATTCGCATTGCAATTGGACTGTTCCACAGGGACAGTTAGCGAGAGGGGTTTTGCGGAAATTGAAGATCATTTCGCAAGGGAGATTACACGATCGGTATCGCGGAATGACACGAAGCAGCCACAGCGCGTTTCTAGTCGTCAGACCTGCCTGACCAGTAACAGTCTCTAATCTCCTAGTCGTAGGACGACACGACTCGTTCGAGTCTCCGACGTTTTTGATCTGACACTTTTTATCTCGAATCGAAATTATATTTTGGTTAAATCAGCGGAGAGCTATTAACTTCCGTACAGCTCTCCCAGTCTCTTTTCACTATTCGTTTTGTCTTCATATATTTTCCGTTTTTCCTTCAATTGTCGATCTCCACCGGCCATGTCGATTTAATTTATACGAATTCATTTACTTGCCCACGTCTCAAACTAATCACAGCGTTATTTCGGTCTGTCCCTTTCGCAGAATATTGATTCTTGATTTTTCTATTTTTTTTCTTAGTTCCTCTTGCGAACTGGTCTCACCGTCTGCCCCACCCTCAGTTTTTTTTATACTTTCGTGTTTGTCTTTTACCGCACGTCCTTTTCGTCGGAGGCGTGCGCGTGTGCGCGCGACCGTTGGGTTTGTTCATTTAATTCCCCTGCTTGAGATCCACCAAACCGTCTGCCACGACGTCGCTGATGTGCAGATATATGATCCAATACATTAGGTTGAAACAGACGAAGCATACCGGAAATACGATGCGGGAATATTTGTCGATATCTGACGGCGTAATACCTGGAAGAAGAGGAAAATCCATATATTACGCTATTTCTATAGAACCTAGAATACATTTTATAACATTACATTCATAGAAGTATTAACACATTAATGACGGGCCATTTTTATTAAAATTTTCCTATACGACGGGTGATTTTAAGGGGGTAGTCTTATGCGAGACCTCAACAAAATCAATTTTTTTTATTTCATTTTTTGAAAGTATATATATATAAGAATGTACACTGTTAAATTTTGAGAGATAAATGTCAAATATTGTAAAACATTTTTTGTATAGTCCCCGCGGTAATTACCGGAGTTATTGCTTCGGGTGACATTATTGTTTTGAAAAGTTTACGACAGGATCAAAAGACATCTGCTGTTTTTAACTCTGGATCTACCAAGGGGGTCAAAATGACTTGTTTGGGATTTCTTGTACTTATAATTCATTTTCAATACATTTTGTTTCCTAAAATTTTGTATGACTTTTTCTAAAATATGCAAAGAATTAATTCTATAAAGCAGTTTTTTTTTGTCTTTTTGATATAAAATTTTATGCAGTATACCTTCATATACCAAGATGAGTCATTTTGACCCCCACGGAACGTAGGTATACTTGTGATTTTGGAAGTTTCTCATATTATCTTTGCATTGTTCAAATACATTTTTGGAAAACTAAGTATATTTTCGTACATGTACGCTGTACAAAATTACTATAAGAGACATGTATTATGTTTGCTCAATTTTTCAATTCGTCCTTTACTGTCTTCATATTGTTATGTGGCTGTAACTATATCGTCGCGTGTTTATAAAAACAAATGACCCCTGTATATATCGGTATGCTTCTGTTTTCGATGCTGTTGCATCGCGCAAACTGTTTCACATTTTGTCTGAAAGGAACACTTACAGAGAAAACGTTATTTTGTGCCGTAATACTTTTAGAAAATCGGAAGTCTATATTTTATCGCGATCTGCAAAAATATTTGAACCCATAAAATTACTTCGAAACTATGGGAAAATTTTCACAAAGCAGTAAATTACTGAAAGAAATAAATAATTTGGTGCAAAATTGTTCTGATATCGAGTATGGTGAAAGTGATCTAGTTGGCAGTGAAAATGAATATCCACCATCATACAACGAAAGTATAAGCGAGTCATTCGATACTGACAGTGAAGATGAAAGATTTCGACGTTTGTGTAGAAAAACGAGAAGAGCCCAAGCTTTCTCTAATTCTGAAAATGAAAGTGATTAGTACATTGAAATGTGTGAAATCGATCAGGATACTGAAATATCTGTTGACGTCACTATGTGACAAAAACAGCAAGAAGGCTCAATGCCAGGAAGATTACCAGTGCACAACATTTTCAAAGAAATGTCAGGATCAACAGCATGTGCGAAACGACACCTCATGAAAGGCAGTGTAAGAACAACATATTCTCTGATACTCTACAATAGTGTTATGAGACATATAAAAACTTGTACCGAAGCAGAAGCCTGTCGAATTCTGGATAACGGCTGGACTCTATCGTTAGCAGAGTTGAATGCATTTATAGCAATTTTATATGCCCGTGGGGCATACGAAGCAAAAAACCTAAAACTTTCATATTTATGGTCCAAAAACGGGGGTCCAGAACTTTCTTTAAAACAATGAGCAGGAATAAATTTGCCAAAATTCTTCAGCTAATTCGTTTTGATAAAAAAAACGAAAGATGCCAACGATTGCAAACAAATAAAAGACCTCGCACAGATCTTATGGAAAATGGCCCCCGATTAAATTAGCTGAACTTTTGATATGATGTAGTTCATGATGTCTTGATAGAAAGTTCCAATGAGCCCAAGCTCGTAAATTGAACAGTTTCCGAGATATGGGGGATCAAAAGTCAATAATAGTGCGCCTTATTTTAGACTACCACGTTTGAGCATATTTGAGTGTAAGAAGCACTGTTGTCACCCTGTGGGCCCTTAAATATTACCTCTTGACCACCTGACCCTCTGACTCCTATTCAGGAGTTAAAATAAAAAAACGCCGAGAAGGTAAAAACTGGTTCTTTTTTTCATTGTACAAACATAAAGCACCGTCGACATTAGCATTACCCAGTGTGCACCATGAGGAGGTTGCTCAATCAGATGTTGTACAGCATGTGGCCCTGAATAGAGCCGTTTTTATAGTTCTCTCTATTTGTCCATAACAATCTCAACATTCATATTGTCTTAATGCCCACTATTAGCGCAGATTGACACTTCGTTGGTAGATAGCCTTAGAAGACTAAATGTTTATTCGCGATTTCGGAATCGTACCAAACATCAAATTCTTATTTCTCACATTCGCAAAAATGAACTAGAACTAGAAGAGGAAATAATTAATGGTTACTACTGTATCTATCAATCCAGTGCCAAAACATTGGGTACATGCGCACATATTGCAAGTGTTTTAAGGTTATTAGGATTTGCTCGTCATCAAAGGCATGTCAAATATTCGGATGACAATCTTCTAAATACGACCAGAGATGCCGCTAATAAAGACCATCAAGACAATATGAATGTTGAGATTCTTATGGTCGAATAGAAAGAACTATAAAAACGGCCCTCTTCAGGACCACATGGTGTGCAAAATCCGATTGGGCAACCTCCTCGTAGTGCACACTGGGTAATGCTAATGTCGATGGTGCTTCATGTTTGTACAATAAAAAAGAAAACCATTTTTTACCTTTTTAGCTTTTTTTTATTTTGACTCCTGAATAGGAATCAGAGGGCCAGGGGTTCAAGGGGTAATATTTAAGGGTCCACAGTACAACTACTGAGTTTTAAGGGGTCAAACAAATGGACAGTGTACAACTTCTTATTCTAATGTACAGCTTCTTACACTCAAACATGCTCAAACGTGGTAGTCTAGAATAAGGCACACTGTTATTAACGTTTGATCCACCGTTTCTCGGAAACTGTTCAATTTACGAGCTTGGGCCCATTGGAACTTTTCATCAAGACATCATGAACTACATCATATCAAAAGTTCAGCTAATTTAACCGGGGGGCATTTTCCATAAGATCTGTGCGGGGTCCTTTGCATTAGTTTCAGAAGTAGAATAAATTCATTGAAAATAGCGAATGTGTTATAAACCAGGAGCTGCCATTACAGTTGATAAACAATTATTCTCGGCCGAAGCCAGATGTAGATTTACCCAGTATATGCCAAACAAGCCGAATAAGTTTGGTATAAAATTTTGGTTGGCGTCGGATGTAAAAGGTAAATATCTTGTAAATGCATTTCCCTACATAGGAAAATACGGAATGAGATTATCCATACCTTTAGGTGAATTTGTCGTCCTAAAACTTATGAACAGATAATTTCTTTACAAAGCCATTAGCAACAAAACTGATAACCAAAAGAACTTCCTTAGTTGGCACCATTAGACAAAATAAGAGAGAAATACCTAAACCTGCAAAATCAAAAAAGGACAACATGCCCCGGTTCTCGACAATACTTTATAAAACAGAAAATTGTACTCTGACCATATACAACAGTAAACCCAATAAAAAAGTATTATTACTCAGCTGAAAACACAAATCCGTGAAAATTGAAAAAGATGGTAAACGTTTACCTGAAACAGTGGTATTTTATAATAATACCAAAGGCGTAGACATGATGGATCAAATGGCCCGAAAATATACTGTGAAAGCTGGATCCCGAAGATGGCCATTACAAATATTTTACAATATATTAGATCTTGCCGGAATAAGTGTCTGGATATTAAATAAAGAAACAACAAGAGAAAATATTTCAAGAAAGGACTTCTTATTCCAGTTGACCGAAGAATTTATAGGTTACTACAAAGAACTAACCGGTCGATCCTCAGTTGAAGTAGAAGAAATATCATCATGTACACCGTCACAAAACCAGACGCATATTTCGATGAAACGTAAACGGTGTCAAATAGCATATTGTACTAATAATAAAACGAACAATATTTGTGGTACATGTCATAAATGAGTCTGTGGCAAATTCCCTGCTAAAACAATTGTAACTTGCAAAAAATGTCTTTGACTTTTATGTGTAATTATTTATTAAATTATTGTTATTATATTACTATTATTATTCAGTTTATATTCAATTCTCGCTCATAAAATAGAAAAATACATAAAAACGTAAAAATTGCTATGTCTTTTTGTAGCGGCCATTGTATAGCCACTACGCCCTTGCCATGGTATGAATGGAATGGAATGCAAGGATAGTTTTAAGCTTTCTATTTTTCCATTTTCCCAGGGTCCGGTGAGCCTCTCGACTTTTATGACTGTCTTCCGCTGTAACTAAACTTCCCCTGCACTAAGAATTTTCCAGTTTCGTTTTTCCGTCTTTCTGTCTTGTCTATTTTTCTCTCCCTTTGCTATTAGGGTAAGGTCATGTATATATTGAAGAGAGTTTTAAGAAAAGAGCTCAGTCTGTTAAAGACACAAAGTCCATAAATCAATCTGTGAAGACACATTCACGATCACTCTGGTAAAGACGTTGTTGTACAGTCCGTAAGAGTCAGTCGATTGACTACGTGATAGTATCGGAGTTAACATTAACCTACGTGTGGCTACACACCCACACCCGCGGAAATAAACAGTTAATAATTGTGGGGTAGATAGTCGGATCGTTATTTGAACCACCAGCCTCCTCACTTTTCTTAAATGACTTACAAAGCTGGTACAATTGCTAAATTGCCTTGACGGCCAAAGATCTGTATCAGCTCCTCGATTAATGGACACTCACTGATAAACCCCCTAAGGTAGATAGTTGCTTGAAGGGGATTATAGCCCGATCTTGCCCTGAGTGTCAAAATAACGTCATGCCGAGAGTTTTAGGAAAACTGAGCTCCCACAGTGAGGAAACGCGGCCGTACGTAAAATGCTCTGTACGTAGGCGGGGCATTACCATATAAAGTAGTGGAAATTGGACCGAGTGCTCGCATACGGCATGAGTCAACCCCGTTCAAAGGGTTGTACGCTAGATGCTCGGGTCAACGCCCAAGTCACCAAA